AAATGTTATTGAAATTGTTTCACGGTTATCAAATGCAATATTAGCGCGACGCAATATATATATATATATATATATATATATAGATATATATAAATATATATAAATATATATATATATATATAGATATATATATAGATAATAGATATATTTGTGTCACACAATATCGATATGGATTCTTTGTGGTTTTCATTCTTAGAATTAAAAAAAATCCTCGCTCACAGAATGTGCAAATGTATTTCGAGCGTTTGTTTGACGATAGTCTAAATTACATGTGTCGCTTAATAACGAAGCTTTTAACGCGAAAAGACGTTTCTCTCTTTTTCTCTCTCTCTCTGTCTCGCTTATTTTTATTTAAGAATATAGATATAGATACCGAGGTCTCCCAAGAAGAGCCACGTCACTCTTGACGAACGATTCCGAGATGCGAGACACGAGACGTATGCGTATTTGATGAAGCTTCCAGAAGAACAAACTTGAACTACCAAGCTGACATTCTTTGTTCTACATCGTGTAACCTAACGGGGGAACCGAGAGAGCAGCTTGAATTCTCCACCGAGCGAGACTCTCGAAAGGGGCGCCCGGTACGCCAGGTGCCCCGGCCCTCGGGCCACGGTCGTTTCAACATAATTAGTCATCCTCCAGGTTACTGAACGTTCTTCTTACGTGTACACATATATTCCTGCCGATTCTCCGACATAAATAACGGCGGAAAGAAACATTGGCGGTGTATATGAACGCGTGGAAAAGACCGCGCGTTCGAAACGCGCGTGTCATCGAGAAAGAAGTTTCATCTAACACAAATAAACCGACGAAAGTGAGACGAGTACAGTGAGGTCTCTGTAAAGCTTCGGCGTAATCGCACGGAGGTTTTTGAATGCGCGCTGCCGCCAACCTCAGAGAGATGGTCAGAGGTTCGCGTGCGAACAAAATTATACGCATCCACCGAACTCTCGCCACGAATCTCTCAATTTATATTTAAAGTACATTAAAAAATTTATCGCAATATATTAATAATTAAATATTGTACAAACTTTCTGTTTTTCGAGGGCCGCAAAAGGCGCATTTGATATATTTTATTGATATATTTTATTGATACGTTCATAGTTTTTGTTCTACGGAACAATTGTTTCAAGTAAGTTACAGGAGAGATATGATGAAAACTCTCTGAGATATTTTTTACATACTGATTGACCGATCGAATTTCATTGTTACCAAAAATTAATGCACGCGTGCGAAAGAACACGCAAAAATCGTGCGTTAAAATATTTTATATTTAGTAAGTATATATGTACATATATGTGCGAAAAAAAAAGGATATTTCTTTATTTAATAGTAATAAAATCTCGGGCTTTTATAGAAGTCTTAAGTTAATTTAACAAAATATTAGCATAGTTAATACTTTATTAGGTCTACCGGAAAGTTCTGTTTCCGTTTTTGGAATAAAACAAAATACAAATTTTTCTTAACCGTCAATAAACTTTATTAAATAATATAATTGCCATTATTATTAATGATTTCTTGCCGGCGTGAGGGCAATTTGTATATCCCATTGTTGAAAAATTAAGAAAACTTTGTATTTTGTTTTATTCCAAAAACGGACAGAACTTTCCGGTAGACCTAATATATTGTTAATAACATAAAAAATTATATAAATATCTACATTATGATTATTACATATATATATACACCGAAAAAATTATATTCTTATAAGTAGAAGATTTTATACTTAAAAAATCTTCTTAAAGATTTTATATAGATGATATTCTTCTGAAATTAAAAATATATTCTTTATTTAAGAATATAGTCTTTTTCGATATTGAGATATATGTTTTTCTATAGAGGCTTTTTATATTCTAATCAGTATATATTCTTATCAATATTACTATTTAGAGGATTTTCCTCTTAAAATAAGAAACTCTTCTTGGCGCCTACTTTAGTATAAAATATACTTAAAGTAAGTGGGATATCCTCAAAACAAGAATACAATTTTTTCGGTGTATATATATTGGTTACGGAACATACGATATGTTTCCTCACTTTTATTCGCTTGTCATTCGCCCATTTGTGTTCAGTTTGCGTCTGATGCAACAACTACTGTCGGATCTGTCATGTGTGTTATCAGCTAAAATGCATCCTACGTTTACGTCTTCGTGAGCAAAGCTGCGTATCACCTGCTTATCGCACAAGAAACTCAGAGAAAAAAACGTACGACTCCTAATTGCGCTTTTATTTGGTGGTGAGTGTATTTTCGTTTGTATTTAAAAAAAATCTTTCGATCTCACAAACAAGGAAGAAGCAATGTGTGAGCGAGAGATACAAAACTCTGTGGCTCTGGAAAAAGGAAAGGTTTGTGTGTCCTGTGTCTCGACAACGACCGATCAACGGGGAAAAAAGCATGGCAAAGACGCGTCGCGCGGCGTCGCGTCGCGTCGCGCCGCCTCGCCTCCGTCGCCGACCACTTTGGCGTCGACGGGAATCAGGCGCCACCGTTTCCCCTGCGCAGTTTTCTCACCGACTTTCCGCCGACGAACCCGGGCAGGCACGCATACTACTGTGTGACACACGCCTGCGACATTTACGCACACGTCGATCGAAGCTTGCGTTATACACACACACAAACACATAGTTTACGTCATTTATGTAAGTGGCGTGTCGAGGGCGATCTTTCGAAAATAATCGAATCCTGCGACGTGCCGCTTTGGCGGCCGATTATGTCAAACAAAATATAATGTATACTTTTACACGCAAAACATCCTTCGATGCGGAGAGCGCGGACAAAAGCAACATCTTTCTTACGCGCGAAATAAATAAATTAAAAACTCTTCAAGAGAGAAAAAACAAAAAAGTTTACATACGAGCGCGGACAACAAAACAAAACGCGAAATTAATTTCAATTCGATCAATCGGTTTCATAAATTTTTATTTTACAAACGCGAACGCCTGTAAATAACAACACCAATAATCTCTATCTTCGACGAAGAAGAAAATTCGCTTAATTTGTTTTCTTCTTCCAATTCCAATTAATTAAACAAACAATTGGATCAAGCCCACCGATGATTCGTGGCAAAATAACAAGCAAGACCTAAATAATTGTTGACGTTTCGATGGTTTATATTTTATCTCTAAAATCATAGGCCCGCAAGTATAGATAATTATCTCGAGTGTCCCTACCTGTGATCCTTTCATCTGCTTGCGCGCGCGCGCGCGCGCGAGTTGAGCTCTCGATATATGCGCCGATAAAACGGGGCGCGCAGCGCGCCTCAGGCTCAGCGGTAGCGTCCGGCCCAGGCAAAGGCAGGCGGCTTTCATTTAAAAACTATGCAAGTGTGGACGCGCGCGCGCGCGCGCGCTCGCTCGCTCGCGTTCGCCGACAACGTCGGCTCCGAACGGCCGGCGCGACTGTCGACTCCGGTCGACCCCGCGCGAAGTTGTGTGAGTTTCAGTTCCTCCTCGGTCCGGCTCTCCGTTAGTTAATCGCCGGAAAGCGCCGTGGTAAGACGTCGTCTGGCGTAGACTCACGCTCTCTCATTCTTCGTTGTCTACTACGCGTGGCTGCTGCTGCTGCTGCTGTGGTGCCAGCTGCTCTTTTCTCTTACCATCCTAATCGCGCTCGTTATGTATGACGCGATAACCAAGCGAGCCGGAGCAATTCATCAAGAAAACGTGACGATTTGTGGCAACGACAACGAAAGACGACGACGACGAGTGATTCGAACGTCCTAGAATTCCCGGGGAAGAGAAAAAACACATGCTCGAGATTCAAGAAACCGTCGTTCTGACGACGCACCGATACGAATCGCAATCAGATTCGTCGTCGCAACTGCGGTTGCTCTGAAATTCGTCGTTTTTTTTTTTTTTTTTTTTTTGGTTTCTTTTTTTGGTTTTTTTTTTTAATCAAAAGCTGAAATCTTGTCCCATTTTTTTTTCTTTTTTCTTTTTTTTCCCGAAATGTTGTTCAATGTGTTGACTCTCGCGACGATGGTGGCGGCGGGTTTCGCCGTCGCCGCTTCCAGAAACGCGTTCGCCAATCCGGAAGCGGAGGATTACGAAGTCGTCGACAACGAGGCTCGATACATCGACAAAGGTACAAACGCGTACGCGCGTAATTTTTAAATTACAAATCCTTTTTGCATGTCTGATTAAAAACAGTTCGCCAGGTCACGCGATCCCCGGTGGGATCTACAAGATTTCCAACGTGAGAGAGAGAGAAAGAGAGTAAATTTTTAACAAACAAAAAATTAAAACAATTCTGCGTCAATTAATCGCGCGATTATTTTTATTTGACGAATTGAACACAGCGTTGAATATAAGTCTCGTCTCTGTACAGAAGTTGTATCTATTTCTCTCGATAGAATAATAGTTTGTTTTTTCTCGTTTGAGATTTTTATTTTTGTTAATCACACACGTCACTCTCTTATTTTCTTATTTTTTACGCGTGTTTGTCAAAGCTTCGTTCGCTGTAAAATAAAAATCTAATTTAAAAACAAATCCCGGCAATCTTTGACAATCACTTAACGGAACCGAAAGAGTTCGCCGGTAGCGGCAAAGGTGAGAGATGCACACTTGTGCGTGCGCGCGCGGCGAGTGATCGCGGGAAGCACGGTGCGTGCACGTGCTCGGCAAGCTCGTTTCGTTAATTCTCGCGAATTTAGCAATTTGTATCTCGCGAAGAAGAGAGAAGCGGCACATCACAGTTCAATTAGAAAATTTTTTTACATACAAGGAACAACGTGCGATACGAAAACTTGAAAAACTTTTTCATAAAAAAAAATTCGTTTCTCAACAATTTCGATAGCTCTCGATATCAATTTGACGCAAAGTAATCGATCGTATTTTTTTTCCACATCTACTCGAAGAGTAGACAAAGAAGAGATTCTTCGACCGCACACGTTCGAGATCCGAATTTTTCCGAAAATTGTTTTCTTCGCGCGTTATTTTGTTATTTTGTAGGAAAAAAAAACGCGTCGCAAAGCAAATAAAACCGCGCGCCGATCTTAAGAGAGGAAACTTCGCTTAATTGCGAAGAGTCTCTTCTCCGTTTGCTTGAGAGAGTGACGAGAGATTCATGGCGCTTCCTAAAAATACTCGGCGCCGAAAGGAGTTTATTAGAAACGATTTCGTTAAAAACAAACAAAGGCTTATTGCGCGGTAGTTGTAAACCACCACCTCCCGAAAGGGGGTCGATCATCGTTCAACGCGGAATGTTCAACGCGAGCAATAAAAATCGTTTACTCGAGTCGAGCGCGCGCGCGAACACGAAGCGAGACACACGGACGCACCGAATGATTCACGATCGATCGATAGATTTACATCCGCAAGTGGCGCCTGCCGGCCGACTAGAGCGCACCAGTTTCTTTTTTTTTCCCTCATTTATTTCTACCTTTTTTTTTGTCATATCAATCTGTAAGCTAATTATTTCTCAAGAGTGTGCATTGTGTGTATAATTTTTTCTCCGGCGTTCTGTAACCTGATAATACGTAATTGTCGTCGTTATCGACATAATTTATGTACGATCGTCTCTCTCTCTCTCTTTCTCTCTTTGTCTTTGATTCCTGTTTTTTTTTTTTGTTTTTTTTTTGTTTTTCATTCGTGCGTGCTTGTACGTACAAATTGCCGGACAATGCAACAAGGCGAGGACATGAGCGAAATAATAAATATTAAAATTTTTCGTTCGCACGATATCGAACCAAGAAAGAAATACGATAAAGTGTACACGCGGCCTGGGCGCCGACTAGGCGCGCGCGTATAGTGGAAGTAGTACATATAACATGTGCTTCTATATATGTATGTATATATGTGCGTGATAGGTGCCGACACGCTTGTTGCACGCGTTGGCGCTACATTGTTGCATCGCTATCTGGTTTATTCTGTTTGGATAAAATTATCAAATATTCAAAAGCGGGAGATTCGAATGTATACGCACGCTGATATAATAGATACGTAACCGATAGCTGTGTAATTCCGCTCACACACACACACCATACGTGTCCAACTTTGAATAATAAAAACTTAAAAACAGGTTTGCTGGCCTAGAAAACAAACACGCTCGTTATTTATTTCTTTTTCCGAGGTAACAACAAAATTCAATTAACTTCTCGGACGAAGTTACACGCTCGCTTTTCACAGTCGTATAACGATCTTTCGCGCCGAGAAAGATCGTCGAAATTCCACGGAACAGTTTCGCTTATATAGTTTGCCGAATGCATTGTTTTGCATCTTTGGCCAAGCTTTGCAACCACGCTCTCGATCATCGTTAGATCGTTAATTCGAATACGTCTGAAGAATTGCTCGGTTAAACTAGGTTTGTCGTGTACAATACACCGAAAAAATTGTATTCTTGTTTTGAGGATATCCCACTTACTTTAAGTATATTTTATACTAAAATAGGCGCCAAGAAGAGAGTTTCTTATTTTAAGAGGAAAATCCTCTAAATAGTAATATTGATAAGAATATATACTGATTA